GTGTCTGCCACCGTGCTCAGCAGTATTATTATTAGTTGTTGATGGACCTTTATTTTATTTATTTATATGTAATGCTAAGAATTGAACCCATTGCCTCACACATGCTAGGCAAGTGCTCCACCAATGAGCTACAACCCCAGCCTACCAGTCTGTGATCTTATTATTGAAGAATTTAATAAATTATAGCAATAAAAGATTGATTATGGTTTATCCAATACAGTGAAATACTTTGTATGCCTTTAAAATAATTTTATGTTGTAATATTAATAATTTCAGAGCTGGGATTGTGGCTCAGCGGTAGAGCCCTCGCCTAGCACAGGTGGGACCTGGGTTCGATCCTCAGCACCACATAAAAAAATAAAGGGATTGTGCTGTGTCCATCTACACCTAAAAAATAAATATTTTTTAAAAATAATGATTTCATAATTAGATGTTCTTGATATATGTAAAAAGCTTGCAACTCAATATGCATAGTTTGAATCCTGTTTTTTTAAAGCTAAAATTATATTATGTAAAAGCAGAAAGACCTTATAGATTTTTTTTAATTTGCTGGACTGTGGTGGGGAAACATTATAGGGGGGAGAGAGAGAGAGAGAGAGAGAGAGAGAGAAAATTTTTAATATTTATTTTTTAGTTCTCGGCAGACACAACATCTTTGTTGGTATGTGGTGCTGAGGATTGAACCCGGGCTGCCCGCATGCCAGCCCCAGACCTTATAGATATTAAAGCAGTTTGCCTATCTGGGTGTGGTGGTGGATGTCTGTAATCCTAGTGATTTAGGAGACTGTGGCAGAGAAGAGTTTGTCAGCCTAAGCAGCTTAGTGAGACCCTGTCTCAAAAAATTAAAGGGGCTGGAGATGTAGCTCAGTAGACGAGCACCATTGGATTCAATACCTAGTACCACCAAAGGGGGAAAAAATTGCCTATTCTTCTGTAATACAATTAAAATAATTATTTTCTTCTATTCTGATATTGTGCCTATTTCAAAGCTGCTGCATTTTTTTTGTGTATGTGTGTGTGTGGGTTATCAGGGATTGAACCCATGGGTGCTTTACCACTGAACTACATCCTTTTTTATTTTGAGACAGTCTTGCTAAGTTGCTAAGGCCTGTGTTAAATTGTTGGGTTAAACTTTGAATCCTCCTTCATCAATCTCCCAAGTCACCAAGATAACAGGCATGTACCACTATGTCTAGCTAAGACATTTTTTCTTAAATTAAGAGAGGATATATTTTTTAAATTTTATAATTCTTATTTTTAAATTTGCTTCAATGACTATCTGAAACAAATTGAGAATTGTTTAAAATTTCTTTTAAAATTACAATGGAATTAATTGAACATGATGGTATTGTCTTTAATCCAGTTACTCAAGAGATTAGGTAGGAGGATTGCAAGTTCAAGGCTAGCCTAGGCAATTGAGTGAGACACTGTTTCAAAATAAAATTTAAAAAGCTGCGGATATAGCTCAGTAGTAGAAGACCAGTGGTTTCAGTCCTCTGAACTAGGGGAAGAAGTTACAAAGGAATTGTTCTTTGACAACATTAAAGATAACACTTTGATCTGCAGTCCCTAAATGGAGAGTTAAGAAATAATTCTACTAGACTTTGGGAAGGTTAATGAACCTCTCTTACCTTCTTTCCTAGAGCTATTTTGGGAAAAATAAAACCCAAAAAGGAAGAAACTTAGAAAGAATCTTTACCTTAGGTAGAAACTGTAATAATTTGTAAACTTTGATTATTTGGTTACAGCACTCAATCATTTCATGCACAGAATTATGTAATTATTTGTTAAATTTGTTTGACGTATGCATTTTGATAAATCTTTTTTCCTTTGAACTTAGATCCTCCAGGTCCTATTGACAATACTAAAATTGCAGTCACTAAATGTGGTAATGTGATGCTCAGGCAAGGTAAGTTTTATTAATACTAAAACCTTTACTTAGCCAGGTACGGCAGTGCATGCCTGTAATTCCAGATACCGAGGAGACTGTAATAGAAGGGTTACATTTGAAGACAATCTACGTAACTTAGTGAGAGTGTGTCAAAATAAGATAACAGTGGCTAGGGATGTAGCTCAATAATATTTTGCCATAGGTTCAACCCCCAGTACTACAAAAATAGAAGAGAAAAAAAGAATGTAATTCGTGCTAGAACTAAGACAAAATAGTTGGAAAGCAGTCAATGTTTATTTGTTTATTTTAATCTGAAAAAAGATTGTAAAGCTATTGATAGGAGCTGGGAAAAAGCATCTCTAACAGACATACATTGCAAGTTATGAAAATTATTTCAGGCACAATTATTTTATCAGTTATTTATAATCAATTTTTTTACAATATAATCAAATTATTATTATCAAATTGTACAATACAAGTTGGTAGTTTGAAGATTGATGTTTCAGAAGTTCTCATTTATTTCTAGATGACTTGTGCTGGTGGGTACATTATAAAAGCATGTCCAATATGAATATATATGTTTGTAAACATTATTTGCTCTATATACCCATAATTTTAGGAGCAGATTCTGGTCAAATTTCCGAAGAAACATGGAATTTTCTGCAGTCTATATATGGTGGAGGACCTGAAGTTATCCTACGACCTCCAGTTGTTCATGTTGATCCTGACATATTACAAGCAGAAGAAAAAATTGAAGTAGAAACACGATCTTTGTAATCTGGAGGATATAGGGAGTTCTAATGAGAAATCATTTTCACTTCCCTTGACATATACATTCAAAAACATTCCTTAAAGCATGTTTTTTCTTGATTTTTTTCATCTTTTATCCCATTTATTCTGTCTTACTGGGCATTGAGGAAAAAATGTTAAAATGTGTAATATACTACAGGTTGGTGTATTTAATGCTAAATAACTTACCATATAAGTCTTTAAGTGTAATATTTTTGAAACAGAAGGGACAGTTGTGATTGATTGGTAATCAGTAGGCTGTCTTTGATCTTTTTACTACACGCAGATCCTGTATATCCTTTGTAGTGTTGTAAATATTTTTTGCTTTGAAAACTTTTTCATTACTCTGTGTTAGCAAAACTGACCAATCTTTTCAGTTCTCCAAAATCCTAATTTATTTGTATAGTTTTGACATGGCTTGGTATAACAAAGAGCCTATTTTAAATTAAGAGTAGTAGTCAGAAAGTTGTTAATTTCCCAAAGCTCAGGAAACATTAGGGTGTCACTTCTTTTGCACTGCACCATACAAATTAGCATATTAAAACGTGCAAAATGTCTTGAATGTATCAAAGATATATTTAGTTTGAGTGGAACTTGTCAGCCAATATCAGTAACTTATTGCTGCTTATATTGTAAAACTTCAATTCCTACAACCCTGGATAGTGTTCATTAATGTCAGTAAGTAAAAATCCTTAGAGTTAGTTTTAGGCCACCTTTCATTTTGCAAGCATGAAGTGTGGAATGTGTCAATGAGATTGTTGATAAAGCTGAAGCCACTTACAAAATGATTTTTTTAATGAAATGCATAAAGTCTTTTTGAATAATGTAGTATGCACCACTATTTGCTTGATTATGTAATGTTAAAAGTTTAACTATACTCCGAAAGCATACTGGATAACATTGAGGATGTTGGATAACATTCTTGATGTCTTTGTTTCAGTTTGAGGCAGCTGCCACCATTTAAAGTGATATTGTTAAAAATTAGTTCAATAAAAATGATGTATAATTATATAATTGAATGTTGAATTTATTTGATAGATATTAAAGTTGAAGGGTATAGAATTTGTTAATATTAATGCCTTCTTAGTAATCTTTTCAGAAATATGGACATCATTCAGGAAAGTTTTTTTTTTTTAATATCTTTATATTTATGTGGTGCTGAGGATGGAACCCAGTGCCTCATGCATACCAAGCAATCGCTCTATTACTGAGCCACAACCCCAGTCCCATCAGTAAAGTTTTATTGTTTAATGAATTTATTAATCAGCTGTTTAAGATCCATTTGAATTTTTTTGGTACCTGGGATTGAACCCAGGGTACATAACCACTGAGCCACATCCCCAGCTCCTTTCTGAAATATTTTATTTAGAGATAGGGTCTTACTGTGTTGCTTAAAACTTTGCTGAGTTGCTGAGGCTCGCTTTAAATCGATCCTCCTACCTCAGCCTTCAGATTATTATAATCCTCAGCTAGGATTATAGGCATGTGCCACTGCGCTGGCTTGAAAATTTTTTTAAAAGGTTTTAGTTTTCTTCTTCCTCATAATCATACTGTGATTCTTCTCGAGGGTTGAATGATTTTTTAAAATTTTTTACTGATACTTAAAAACATAAAATTTATACATATTTATTTAGTGCCATGTAATATTTGATACATGTATCCATTGTGTACAATCAGATGGTTTTGATCTGTGTTTAAATCACCAGAATTTAGTATAATGCCGGGCACTTATTTAAATTTAAAAAGGTTTGTTTTCAATAGCATTTGCCATTGAACACTTAACAATGTTTTAGTCACTCTACTAATGTGCTTTCCTTATGTCTAATATTCGCAACAATTCTATGATATAGGCTAAGTGTCTTGCCCAAAGTTATATAACAAAGAAGTGGCAGTTTGGGATTCCAACTTAAATCAACGTGACTTCATACCAGTGCTTTTATTCACTACAATATATTATTCCCTAATGAATTCCCTTGAAACTGTTTATGGCATCACATTCATTTATAGTAACGTATTATTGAAATACAATAGGGCAGGAATTGTGACTCAGTGGTAGGCTCTTGTCTAGCATGCATGAGGCACCGGGTTCAATCCTCAGCACCACATAAGAATATAAAAAAATGAAATTATTAAAAAAGGGAATTGGGGCTGTGGCTGTGGCTCAGCGGTAGCACACTTGCTTGGCATATTTGAGGCACTGGATTTGATTCTCAGTACTGCATATAAATAAAGGTCTATCAACAACTTAAAAAAATTTTTTTTTAAAAAAGGAATATAATAGAGAATACTAGTCCCACTGGGTATGGTGGTGCATACCTCAATTTAGGAGGCTGAGGCAGGAGGATCACAAATTTGAGGCCAGTCATAGCAACTTAGCAAGATACTTATCTAAAAAAAAAAAATGGGTCTGGGATGTGGCTTAGTGGTACAATCCTTTGAGTACAATCCTCAGTTACCCCCCGCCCCCGAAAAAAGAGTTCATTCAATTTTTTACATTATGTTTGTCAAAATACATAATAAGTGGTAGCACTATGCCTTTTTAGCTAATGGAAAATTGTAGTCAAAGGATAGTGAGAGCCTATGTATTTAAAGTACTTTGATTTCTAATATGAAAGTGATTAGTTTTTTAGAGTCACTTTGCCTAAATTCAAATCCTAGTTGCTGTTACTTTCCAACTATGATTTAAATTTTTTTTTTTTTTGTATTGGGGTTGAATCCAGGGGCGCTCAACTACTGAGCCACATCCCCAGCTCTTTTTTGTATTTTATTATTTTCTTTAGAGGCAGGTTCTCAGTGAGTTGCTTAGGCCTCACTAAGTTGGTGAGGCTGGGTTTGAACTCATGATCTTCCTTGCCTCAGCTTTCCAAACTGTTGGGATTACAGGCATGTTCCACTGCGCCTGGCTCTGTTTGTGATTTTGAACAATATTTAAACTTCTTTCATCTTCAGTTTTCTTTGTTAAGTGAGAATGCTACCTTGGATTTCCCAGGAAACAGACACTGAGATGTTAAGAGTGCATACAGTTTGTTGTGGAGGAATGGAATGGTGCACATAGCTCAGTGATAGAGTGTGTACTTAGCATGGTGGGAGTCCATAATTGTAATAACCAGTACCATCCCTTGGGAAAAAAATGAAGGAAAGAATATTATTAGATTAAGCAGGATTGACCAAGAGTTATCAGAATGATGCAGACCTGATGTCCTCTGCCAACTCCCTAAGGACATCTGGAGCTACGACTTCAGAAATGGCTTTGTCTTTGTACTATAAGTTGGCCTTATTTTGTCACTGACTAGCGACTATCTGGAAAAGAAACTCAGCTTGACCCCAGAGGAGTCAAGGGAGTTGTCAGATTTCTAAATGTAGGATCTGACAGCAAGTGTTTTCTTGAGAGAAGTCTGAATAAATCTGTCTGCCATACTCAATCATGGGATTATAATAATTACATTTATTGTTACATATTATTATATGAACACAGTACTGAACATAGTTGGCACTCAGTGATGTAATCTGTTATTCTTTGTTCTTTTCAAAAGACATAACTTCTAAGGACACAGCATTATCTGTGTAGGATCTTCCCAGTAAGGTTTAATATGAATCTAATCATGAGGGAAAGCAAGATAAAAATTTTAAAGGCATGTTGTACAAACATAGCTGCTCTGGACTCTTCAAAAATTTTGTGTTATGATAGACATAAAAGAGGCTAGATGGCCAGACATGGTGGCACATGCCTGTAATGTCAGAAGCTCAGGAGGCTGAGATAGGAGGATTGCCAAGTTCAAAGCCAACCTTAGCAACTTAGTGAAGCCTTCAGCAACTTAGCCGAGACCCTGTCTCAAAGAATAAAAAGAGCTGGTGATGTGGCTCAGTGATTAAGTGCCTCTGGGTTCAATCAATGGTACCAAAAAAAAAAAAAAAGAAAAAAAATAGATGAAGATTAAGAGAAGGTGACAACGAAATGCAATATCTGGTTCTTAATTTGGTTCTGGATGGGAGGGAGCAGATTATAAGGAACAATAATTGGAAGAGTTTGAGAAATTCAATTATATACGTTATATATGCTGAAATGGGATAGATTTTAGATCTTAGATAAAATAATACAAATGTTAAATTTTTTGTTTGGTGTTACTGAAGATTGAATTCAGGGGCATAGGACTACTGAACTACCTCTTCTCCCAGCCTTTTAAAAAATTTTTTATTTTGAGACAGGGTCTTGCCAAATTGCTCAGGCTGGTTTTGAACCTGTAATCCTCCTGCCTCAGTCTCCCACATTGTTGGGATTACAGGCAAGTGCCACTCTGCCCTGCCTCAGTGTTAAGTTTCTTGAGTGTGAAAACTAGTATGTAGAAGAAAGCCCTTGTTAGGAAATATATGCTGAAATACAGAAGTTTACATGGTAATTGTATAATATTTAGGAAGGTGGGAAGATATTTAACAATATCTCCATACTTTTACTTGGTAATTTTATAATATTTAGTTTTGCATTCAGTTTAGTTCTCAATGCTTAGTGATATTTTTAGTGATCCTTTGTCAATTTCCTAGGATAGCATACTACCATTATAGTACTCCATAGTCTTACTCTTCTCCTGGCTTCATTAAATAACCTGACCTCTATTTTGCTAAGACTGAAACATTACTTCTTTGTCTTCCTTTCATTGCCGCCTCTTAATATCTTTCCAGATTAGAGATAAAGAAGGGGCTTCTCCCTCCTCAGCTTTATTAAGGTATAATTGACAATGGGGGACTCTTTCTCTTTTCCTGTCTTCCTTGGCAATTCATTTTTTCATTTAGTTTTTTTTTTTCTTCTTTTTTTTACAGTGCTGGAAATTGAACTCAGGGCTCTGTATATGCCAGGTAAGTGCTCTACCGCTGAGCTACACCCCTAGCCCCTTTTGTTTTTATTTTGAGATAGGCTCTTGCTCAGTTGCCCATGCTGGCCTCAAATTTGTAATCCTGCCTTGGCCTCCTGAGTAGCTGGGATTATAGGTGTGTACCACTATGCCTGACTTCATTTAATTAGTTTCAATGCCCTACACTTTCTGCTATGTTTTTAAAAATCAATTATCAATCCTTCATGCTACAGTGCTTCTTAACTCTCCCTCTTCACTAGCACCTTGCCTTTCCTTCAGGGGAAATTCCCTCATTTTGAGCCAAGGAAATGAATATTCTCTAGAACAACCTGCCACACCTGTTTCTTCTTTTTTATTTACAAAGTTTTGAATCCAGTCTATTGTTGCGGACCATCCATGGGCTGTGTGTATGAGCTGTGCACATTGAGCAGTATGAGGGGACTGGCCTGACATTGCTGCCTGATTGGGCGGTGCAGCGTATGTGTGCCTTTTCTGCCTGTGATCCCACACAGCACCTGAGATGGGTGTGGCTTTCCAAGATGTCAATCAACCTGTTGACCACAAGACATCACCAAGCAAGACTCCACCCTTTGAAACCCAATCCCTTGCCTTATATTCTATGAATGGCTTTTCCCCAATACATAGCGGGTTTCAGGTGTGTTCTCTCTCTTGCCTCCCTTGCTCCCCTTGCCTTCAGTGTGGGACCTGACACCTGAGGTCTCAGAGCTGTCTCTGACCCCCCAAAAAGGTATTTTTGTGTTTGTGTGGTTTTTTAGTTGTCAGCCCAACAGCTGGTGACAGTCTATACCCTTTAATTCCACTTTATGCCCTCTTTCCTTTTCAGATCTGTCTGGTTTCTATCTTTGTTTCCCTGCTTAAATTACTTTCCCCATATATATGACTTATTAGCACTCATTACTATTTTCATAACAAACTTTAGGATATTATTTATATTAGTTACATCAGAAAGGCAATTTCCTTATGTCTTAGCTATTTCTCTGACCCTCAGTGGTCAATTTGAATATATATATTACTATTTTGAATGATGGCACTGGGAAGGGGAATGAATTCTCTATGGAAAAAAAAAAAGGAATTACTATTTTTCTAGGTAGCTCAGTGGTACAGGGCTTGTCTAGCATGTGTGAAGCCCTGGGTTTGATATTTGATCCACAATACCACCAAAAAAAAAGAAAGAAAAAAGAAAAGAAAAATGGACTATTATTAAACTATCTTAATAACAACCCAACTACCTTTTAAAAATGTTTTTATTGTTTGTACAGGGGATTGAGGCCAGAGGCACCCTACCACTGAGCTATATCCCCAGTCCTATTATTTTTAGTTTTTTGGACAGGATTTCTGGCTAAATTGCCCAGGCTGTTCTCAAACTTGCAATCCTGTCTCATCCTCCTAACTGGCTGGGATTACAGGAGTGTACCATTGTACCTCACTATCCTATCTTTTAAGATGATTCTCCAGTATATTTTACTAGCTTTAATGTATCTTTCTAACTGTACTAGATATATGTACTCATACATCAGTCATCTAAAACTCAACAATTTGAAAAGCGGCATGAATAGTCATTAGAAATATGGGCTCCAGCTGGGTGTGGTGGTGCACACCTGTAATCCCAGTGACTCTGGAGGCTAAGGCAGGAAGACCCCAAGTTTGAGGACAGCCTGAGCAACTTAGTAAGAACCTGTCTCAAAAAATAAAAAGGGCTGGGGACTTAGCTCAGTGGTAAAGCACCCCTGAGGTGAATCCCCAGTATGCCCCACCCCTGAAAAAAGTATAGGCTCCTGAGTTAGTTTATCAGTTTTTGCCAAATTTCAGTGGTGTGTAAGAAGAATTTATTTTGTAAGTTTGTGGCTAATCAGACTTTGGCCCATTCCCACTGATGCATCTGCTGACCTTTCCTGGGTTTACTGATTTTTCTTGGGATTGACTGATCTGGCTGACTTCTCCTGAGGTGACTGGAGCAAATTGGCTGTTTCTTATATTCTTCAGCAGACTAACCCAGGTGTGTTCTCTGTATAGCAGAGGAGCAAGTCATTTTCAAGCTAATACATGTGTCACATGTATTAACATGTCATTGGCTAAAGCAAGTTAGAGGTTGATCTCAGAATCAAGGAATAGGGAAATAGATTCTACTTTCAGTGAGAGGAACTGCCAAGTCAAATGGCAAGCTGGGCATAGTGGTGCATGCTTGTTCTAGTGATTAAGGAGGCTGAGAAATGAAGATCACAAGTTGGAAGCTAGCCTTGACAATTTAGCAAGGCTTTGTCTCAAAAAATAAAAAAGAAGTGAGGATGTAGCTCAATGGTAAATTGCTTCTAGGTTCAATTCCTCTGTGTGTGTGTGTGTGTGTAGGGGGAGGTCACATGGCAAAAGGTGTGGCTACAGGGAAGTGTAAATAAGGTAACCTAATCAGTGTAACATACTGAGATTGCTTGTACTTGGATACTAAGTCCTGCCAACATCTATAAGGCCTTGGCAAGTTCTCTGGCCTTGGTTTCCTTATCTACAAAATGAATATTTATTTCATTGGTTTGTTCTGAAACTAAATGCTGTATTAGATACAAAGTACATTGTGAAGGTATAGTATCCATCTTCGTAGCTTTTGGTGCAACTAACATGTTCTGCCAGTTCTATAGTCCTACAGTACTATTCATTTGTCACCAATGCAGAAAGTCAAGGATTCCAATACAGATAATAACCTTGATTCATGTCAGAAAATGTGTAAATTTAGCAAAATTATAGAAGCATGATTTATGATAGCAGCTCTCCAGGTATAGATTAATAAGACAAGGCCTTTTGGGTTCAAGTTCCTTCAGCTTTTTGTCTCTTGCCCACATTAAATTCTGCTACAGACCTGTGTACATAAATGTGAGGCTATGTGAACGTGACAGCAGGATAGTTCAACACTAGGCATGATGCCATTCAGGCTTAAGACTATCTTTTATAGCTGGGTGTGGTTGTACATGCCTGTAATCCCAGGAACTTAGGAGGAGGATCTCAAATTTGAGGTCAGCCTCAGCAATTTAGCAAAGCCCTAAATAACTGAGCAAGACACTGCCTCAAAATAAAGAATAAGACAGGCTGAGGATGTGGCTCAGGGGTTAAGTGCCCCTGGTTTAATCCCTGGTACAAGAACAAAACAAAAAGCATAAAACAGTATCTCAAAATTTAACTGATAAAAAAATTATTTTTAACAATTCTGTGTGTGGTCCTTGTGGTGTTGACCAGATTCACTCATCAGGGTGCATTCAGTTGATGGTGAAGCTATGCTGGAATGTCAGTAAAAACTTCTCACTGGACTGGCGTGTTGGTGTTCAAGTTGACCAAGGTGCAGAATTCATCTCTCTTAAGGCCTTTCTTTCCCCATGATCTCACCCACTAGGGTCTCTCCATGTGACTTCTCTCCAACAAGATAGCATAATTTATGGTAGCTGAGTTCCAAGAGGGTAAAAGTAAATGCTGTAGGCTTCTAAAGAGTTATAACAAGAATTGGCACAATGCCATTTCTGCCATCTTTGTGTAGGAAGGGAACTACACAAGAATATGCACTACAGGAAGCACAGCTCATTGGGAGTTATCAAGAGTTTATTGATTTGATTAGCCTGGTGAAGCAAGAGGAAAGAAGGAGGGCTTGCGCAATATGTTTGTTTCACTGGCAATGATAAGAAGAGTGGTTTGGGTGGTGAGGGCCTAATTGATCCATTGTAAAGTTATTGTTTGACTTTTCAATTAATAGATTTTGTGGTTGTTTTTTCTTTTTAGTACTGAGGATTGAACCCAGGGCCTCATGCATGCTAAGCATATGTTCTGTCACTGAGCTATACCCACAGCCCCTAGTTCTCCTTTTGAGGGACTTTGAAAAAGATTCTTTACCTGTAAATGAATTGTGGGAAGGCAGGGATTAGTTCTAAATCTTTTATGTTTTGAAAGCAAAACTGATTTGGTTCTCCAGGAATCAGTTGAGACCCAGAAGACTCATGTTTTATGGATCACATCAGCTAAATGAATGGAGGATCATCTGAATAATGTATAATTAATTTATTCCTTTAAATGTTTCTTAAATATTTCCTTTTATTAAGATGAAGTTTCTTTCCTAGGCTATGCTTATCATCTTTTCCAAGTTGAATTGCTTTCAGCCTAGAGTGAAAGATGTATTAAAGGATCCCAACAAATTAATTGTTGGATTTACTAGAAAGATGCTGTTGAGAATACTGTTCACATGATCTTGTCTTTAGGAGATACTATGGGAGGAATGTATCTTCTTTTTACTATTGGGAATAGTAATGGGCAAATTGTTTTATTATCTATGTGGATATTGAGACTGTTATAACTGATCTTGTTTTTCCTTGTAACACCTGCTAGAAATCCTAAATCAAGTGTGTAGGACCTTAGAGCATGTATGTTTATGCATTATTTTTCTTCTGTTTTCTTTTCCCCCTAATTTTCCTATTTTAATTATTTTGAATTCTTTTTTTAACCTGTATACCAAGTTTTTCATAAACCACAAAAAGTTTCTTAGAAATAAGTACTTTCCTAGAAACAAATAATGTACAAATTTTTAACACGTGCTAAATATATTCATCATTTTGGTTATGTACAACTATATCTTCCCCACAATATAATAAGCACCAAAGAAAAGGGTTTTGTCTTGTTCACCCCCATAGCTTAATGTGGTCTGTAACACAAAGTAAGTGTCTGGTAAATTTGTCTAATATGTTAATGTTGATGATTCCTTTCTTCAAATTTCCTCATCCCTTTTGTTTGGGGTACTACTTTATCCAGTTTTTCTTTTACTGTTCTAGTCCCTCAGTTCTGTTTTTCACTTTCCTTGCCTATAAAAATGTCAGTATTTCTCAAGACTTTGTTCTTTCTACAATTCTTTGTGTTTTCTTCATACCACCCCCCTCCCCCACCACCACATTTATATCCAAGGTTCCAGTTAACTTCCAGATTAGACTCCTAGGCAGCTTCATTTGGATATACTAGAGTTATCTTAAACTCAGTATACCCTTAATGGAACACATCATTTCCCATGCTAAACTTGCTCCTACTTTAGTATTTTCTGTGGTCATCAATGACACCTCTATTTCCCTAGTCACCCAAGTCAGGAATCCTAGACTTTCTTTCACATGCTCACAAATTCAATCAACTACCCAATTATAGAGCTTCAGCCCTACAAATATCCAGACACACAAAGGAAATGATCAAACCAATTACAGACATGTGCCAGTGTAGCCAGATTAAAAAAAAAAAATTATAGTGCTAAGTATGGAACCCAGGGCTTCATGCATGCAAGGGAAGTGATCTATCACTGAACGACACCCACAACCCCAGTGACCTGGGCTTTTCATCCACAGTACTTGACAGTACTTGGCATATGTTGAAAGGAAGAATGATTTTTCAAAGAGGATTCTAAGGCAGTGCCTTACATGTTATAGTAGGGGACTGAGAGAAACGTGAGCTTTTTGCCTACTTCTAGGTTCCCTTTTATTTGGTTCAAGTATTAGACTTGAGATTGTAATAGGAATGCCAGCGTTTCAGAAAATATTGTACAAACCTTTACATTATTTGATTTTAAAGTATTTTATCTCTTCAATATTCTGGGATGGAGGTATATTTCATTAAGCCTGGGTACATTCACCAGCACAAAAAACCAAAAACAAATCGAATCAGATCTTCAGAGTTCTATGATTGTAGATGAAAATAACAACAGTCATATAGGACTATACCTTAGTTAGGATGAGGCATTCACAAGCAAGGTTAACAGTGGTTATGGATATACATTTAGTCATGTTGGGGATGGAACCTAGGACCTTGCACATGCTAGGTAGAGGGAGAAGTTACAATGGAGTATCTCAGCTGATCCTACAATTCTGTAAATATGATGATCCTTGAGGATTGTCTCAAGCTGAGATAAGCAGTAAGTAGTTTGGGACTTTTATCCATGCATTGATCAGTTAGTGGATGTGGTCTCTCTGGAAATATTATTTATTGTACTGGAGACTGAACCCAGGGGTGCTTTACCAGTGAACTACATCCCCAGCTTTTTATTGTTTGAGACAGAATCTCACTAA